CCTCTCTCTCTCTCTCTCTCTCTGACAAACACACACACATACACACACACACACACACACACACTTACACACACACACATCACAAACACACATACACACACACACACGCATACATACACGCCATGTACAGAGACTTGCCATCTTTTCCCTGAATTCGCTCACATACTTCCACTATATCTTGTACATATACAAACTCGCACTTAAAACAGTCCACTTCGGTTCTGACAAATCGATTCTTCATGTGTCAGTCTTACCCAAACTATTGTGTCACCATGCGGTGGAATCAGGCGCTTGTCAATTTATGGGCATGCAGAGTTGTTGGTATCATCTTCAATTGTGTTTATTTGTCTTTGAGACAAAAAAAGAAATACTACCCATTTATCTTGAATACAAGTCGGGATATTTGCATTTGAATGAGGGGGGGTGGGGGGTCGCCTGGTTTCAGAGGTACAATTAGCGATAAAAAAAAATTGCCACAAATAATTTCGATGCGACCATAGCTTGAGAGTCCGAGGAAACTAAACATTTACTTATTGTGTGCCATTAACCAACGTTTTTCAGTAACATCCATGTAGAAACGTGTTCTTAGGTAGACATAAATGGTATTATAGTGTTGGGGGATAAAACAACAATTTGATTTTTTTTAAATGCCAAGCTGGCGGGAAAGTGCCAGTTTCTTTAATTTTAGTATTTTGCCGAGCGCCTGATTTCACCACGATGCCTCACAATTTTTTCTTTCCGTTCTCACCAGATTGTGAGCTAATACTATTGATTTTAAAAAAATTCTAGGTCTACATCGATCAGATAAACCCCTAGCTTGTTATGGCATTATTCCTCAAGTAAAGATATCAACAGCCTTTAGAAGGAAGTCAAGAAACGTTAAAACTTACCTCTCATTTCCTGAATTCCTAGCCAAGAATGTGACGATTGCCGAGGTGTTGACAATTACAACATTAAAACAGGCAAGCTTGAAGGCCCAGAGTGCCCAGTCATCTGTCCCCCTGTTGTTCGGGACATGAAAAATACAGTTGACAATAGTTTTATTTGTATGAAGCAACAGTTTTGTTTTTTTCACGCAACCTAATCAAGAACGTTTTGACGACGTTAAAGTTATTCTGCTGCTAGTGTATAAGTGTCCAAGTTCTTCCCCAGCTGACAGAATGCAACAATAGGCTGGTGACGAGAGTCAAAACCTGGCGATTTCCTTATTAGGAGACCAACAAAGGTTGTCATTGTCATTACCATTCAAAGCGTTTAGTCAAATGCTGTCCACTCCATCCTACCCCTCGTATGCTTATTTTTTGGCCCCATTTCTTTTTTTAAAACCTATTTCAAAATAAAAGGAGTATAAATATCCCCCATTAAAAAATCAGATGTGTTTAAACCCCCCATCAACGCAAGAGCAGAGTAAATGGGATGGTGTATAATTTTAGGATATTTGGGTTGGTGAAGGAAGACCTTTGTGCTTATATTTTCATTTCTTTTTACTTGTGGATTCTGTTTGTTAGCTAAACGTCAATTTCATTCATCCTGCATTAGAACTGAACACTCAAGTAATACCTTTCACCACTCCACTACAAAACCGTTCAAAAGCACAACTCATAGGACGGTGACTTAAGTATGTCACGTTCACCTCCCTCAGGTTCACGGTCACAGAATTACTTAGAATAGCATCAAGACAATGAACCAATCACAATTCACTTGAGCACTCCGCTGGATTGCTCTGGGGCCCACATAATTTTGGCATGGAATAGTGCAGTCTATGGCGTTTATTTTTAGATTGCCTACTGTGGGCTATGTTTCGGCGCTATTCGGCGGGAGCCCATTTGAGATGTGCCGTGTTATTAATATTAATGTACCGCCAAACTCTCTACAAGTGTCGTCATCGCTTGGGTTATCCCAAAGAGTGATTTATAGGTCAGGTTTCCACTGTTGACTATCCTGTTTTGTTTACATACAGCGCATGAACTTAGGCATGGTATAGTAGATGTTTTACGGCGCTATGGAATAGAAAGGACAGTTACGGCGCCAGCGAGGGCCTTGTTTTGATATAGTATTTGGCTAGTGTTTGTTTCTGGCGTCTTTTATTATATTGTTGTGGGTGCTTTACGTCATAGAACATTAAAACAATTTGGGCGGCACTGCACGACCGTGCTCTATGGACGAACCGCACCTGATAATGTCCCATGATATAACACAGTATCAGTAGCGTCGGATGGGTCGAGTATAGGTGCAAATTTTTCTTGATCTACGGTGCCCTTAATTTTGTTTCAAATAGAGTCAAATGATGGGCACCGTAATGAACCGGGATTAAATCTAGATCTAGATCTACGCCAGAGTATGGTGCTGTTACGTTCAGTTCATTTCTCGAATAAAATAATCATCTGTTCTAATGGGTCATCATAATAATGCGACTTGTCAGGTGCAGATAAACTGCCCTCTTTCAAATTAATTAGTACAACTGACGTTTGGGAATTTCTTTTTTCCGCCCAGACATTGTAGCAGCACACCAGAAAAACACAATGGGTTGACAGTGGACACTAGATCTAGATCTAAATAAATTGTAATTATCAAAATGAAAATTCTAGATCTACAACACGACCAAATAAATAGTAAATAGAGTCACTCAGAGATCTAGACTCTGGGCCTAGGCCTATATCAGCCTGAAATGTTCTTGAAAGAATTACAATGTTTTGAAATTTGATAGTCACTTAATCAAAAATTAAAAAACCCAGTTTAGGTCACTTGCATTGCCTTTTGAATTGTTGTTTACATTAACTCTATCACTACATACACTAAATGATCAACTATATAAATCAAAGTAGATTAAACTGTAAAACAATATGTAATTGATAAATATGATTTTAGTCAATATACGAGTATAACACTCTTGGATAATTACTTTTTTGGAAATAATACTTCCCTTGATATTCTGATATTCTTACCTCCCCGTAAAAATCAGAATATCGGAAATCGACAGACAAAAACTAGATCTAACTACATATTTAAAATCAGCACGTCAGTATCCGAGTAGCTTGACAACTTTTGCTGTTAAAAAGCCTTTTTTTCCATCTTTGACCAATTTAAAGCAATACGTTAGTTCTAATGTCTAGATCTAGCTCTAGATCTAGAGAATAACTCTTTGCCTTTGGTTTGTTTTGGTTACGAAGTTTGAAATAAAAATCAGTCATCTCTATTCTAACAGCAACATGCCAGATTAATGCAGTTTCTTTCAACTTTTGAATCGTCCGTTTTCTGATTACTTTGCATATATATACGTTGTGATAGTTTTGGTTGGGGTTTGTTTCGCGGAGGGAGACATACGGATAGCACAACTTGTAAATTAGCGTGACTAAAAGTAAAGGAAAACAATCCAGATTTTTGCCAATTCTTAATTTGACTTCGACGGGCATGAAAATGTTGTTTTCATGTGAGACTCTAGAATGGACCCTCTTGTCCAATTGACGGGTCATTTCAACTTTGTTGGTACATCATATGTATTTTGCCAGCTGATATCAGTATGGTATAAACAATTTTATTACACTTGTTGTGGTGTTAGACCATGATTTATCCTACTTGTGAAATTGCCAGTTGTAATCACTCGTTGAAACTCGTGATTACAACTTGGCAATTTCACTCGTAGGATAAATCATGATTTTACACCGCAACGAGTGTAATAAATTATTTATCACAGTGCATTGCAGTGCTCATCTTCCCTGTTGCGAAAAACACGACAGGGAAATATCAGTGGAGGTTTTTTGTTTTGTCGTTTTTTGGTGGTCTCTTTTTTTTGTTGTTGTTCTGTTTTTCTTTTTGTTGGTTTTTTTGGAGAGGGTAGTAGGAAATGAGGAAGGTATATATTTTTTTTTAATGCTAAAAATAATGAAGGTGTAGACCGTGATGTGCTAAAGCCTCCAGTTGTACGTACGTGTATAGACGATCATTAGGGAATATTTTTCCGAGATCCATTCGGCATTGGTAGGCAATCAGCACAGAAGCGATTGACAACATGTCTGGGAAATAGAAAAAATAGTATTATACACTGAAAAGGAAATCTTCTCATGTTTTTTTCGTTCCCGTTAACACTGGTCACATAATGTCACAATTGCTACCATGAAAACTCACTTCCAAAAATAGAGGCAACTTATTTTTTTTTCATCTTTTCGTCCTCGAAAACAATTTTCTGAAAATAACCATAGTCTCTAGCAGAAAAAAGGTTGCTAAACAATATTATTACTTTTTGTTTTGTTCGTTTTGGGTTTGGAGAGGGGGGAGTAGGAGGGGAGATATGCTACTTCAGAACTCACTGTAAACTGGAAGTGACATTACCTGCAAGCAGGCAGAGCATGCTCAGACCGAGGAACCACTTTTTCTTGCAACATCTGCGGAATGTCATCACAATGTCCACTATAACGACGACCAACATGATGCATAGAGCGCAACCCTCCATGACGCGAACGCCATTGACCCATCCTGCGGGAATATAATTATGATAATGATGACAACGAAAAAAAAATTATAATAAAAATAAT